CGCATCGCACACCAAGTCTTTTTAGCCTGTCTCTAAGCTCCATTGTCTGCTCTTTTTTCTCAATTTTTTATCCACCCTCTCCATCTTGACAGCCGGTCACCATGGACTTCCTCTCATAGATTGGGTGCCAGGCTAATTCGCCTACTGTGGTAGAGGCGTGTGGTGAAGGGAGGAGGTGTGGAAGAAATAAACAGGGTGGTACCACCGCCGATCCAGGGTATCCGTACACCTTCTTTCTAAAGCCCCTCCCCCTCCTCCCCCTGCTTCTCCAAGCTGTCCCCGCATCCTTGTTAAAGAAGATGGCCTCCAATTTGTGAGGGGACACAAATTTCTTTGACATCTGACTCTGTTTTCCATGTACAGACGAGACGACACCTTCTCGGCCTCATGCGGCAGCCCGACAGCAGTCCGATATGGTTGATCAATTCATGTCTTAGACCTCTGCTCTGTCCTGATCCGGTCTGCTCTAACTGGCGGACCGGCTCATTGCATCTCACTTCGGCCGGCTTGCTTACCATCCCTCCCTCATCGGCCCATCAGGGGATGACATCTTGACCGAACGAAAAGCAGGAAATTGATCAACGGCTTGCCGGACTCTGAAAGGCTGTCTTATTGTTTCATCGTGAACCTCGTCATGGGAAGCCGCATTATAGGACCCGAAGGCGACCAAACTCGCGGCAAGCGTCGTGAAGCTATCTAGAAGTCATAGCAGCGTTCAAGTATAGGTGCATCTTCCAAGTCTCAGTAGACTTGCTTCCACTATACTCCAACAGAAAGACCTTATTTCTGCCCGGCTTCGATCCCGAAAGCTTTCGGCTGTTTCAAAGCACTTCCCGCCGGCATGTGCCGCCCATCGTGGGTCTCAATTTTGGCTTCATCGATCCAGGACGACCGGCCCTACCGACGGGTACCTCTCACAGGAGCGCCAGACGGACGAGGCGGCTCAGTCACGCATTCATCACAGCCCATGTCACACCAGCATGCGCCTATTCTTCTTTTCTGCTTCTTCCCTCTACTTCTTGGAGTACTTGAATCTGCCGCCCGTCTCATATAGCTCCATAACCGCTCCTACCCTCCCCACACCCCTTTGCATTACAAGTTTGGTTCCTCCAACCACGCTGCCTCCTCTACCGTCTCGACCTTTCCTCCCTTGGTTTCTATTCCGGCCGGCCTCCATCATTACTGGGTATGTGCTCAGAGTCTCGCGTGCGCGACCTGGACGGGACAACTGTACCTGGAGAGCCTGCACTAATCAACAACGGCAAGACACATCAGGTGGACAGCCTTCCACGCAATGACACGCCTTGCTGAGGAGCTGTACCTGGCACCTCTCCCGACGAACCGTTCCCATGTCCCCTGCGTATTGTCTGCCGCCCGTCATCCGTTAAAGGAGCAGATTTGCCTAAAGTAAGGAACGCCTATTCAACTGCTAAAAGCCACACTAATGCATCTAGGTCTTTGCGGACCCAAAGAACGACACACGGCTCACTGAGGGACTCCCTGATCTTATCACCACCACGTCTGCCTCTGGGCCGTTGTGTCTCAATCTCCCGCTGACGCACCGCACTGAAGACCTGGTACTGTGGCGGTGACCGCTCATGTGCTCGACAAGAGCTAACCTTCACTTCGCGGTTGACCTCGTGCAATGCATCCGCACTTATTGGGTATTCGATACCCCACAACATTGCCTCCCTCCTCCATCGACCAGGCATGACTAGAAGTCTAAAACACATCGACTAAGGTGTGGTATGCTCGATCCGGTCAGCCGACAGCACCTCACTCTTAGGCGCCCTTCCTCGCTGGCCTGGAGCGGGTGCCTGCTCCTGCATACCGTTGGATTTTGAAGAGAAGACTACTCTCTCTCTAATGCCGACTACACGCGCCACTACAGGGAACAATGGCCTCCCCGACAACCTGAGATGAAACAATGTCTTTCGCTAATCTGCATGACCACGGCATATGCTGGCTTGTGGGATATATCCCTCTTTGAGTTGCCATGTGCCTCACGCGGTACTCCCGGCCAATGGCAACACTACAGGCTGAGATATGTTTTGGCATCACAGAACACCGCAAAAGATGGTCTTTGATCACGTCGATCAACGAGGCGGCATCGTTTTCGCAGTCGCAAACCACCAGGCACTCCTGCAGTAGCTTGTCCATGGTCTGCAGAGGATGATCTCCAAGGTTCCTGAAGGCATGGTTCCCCAGATTCAGGATTGTGCAATAGCAGAGGGTATCGGACCCGGCGAACCGTCTAGACTTGTCGTCTCCTGTCTAGCCGCGCTTCTCCTGCGGGGATCTTTGAGTCACGGGTTGTGGAGGTAGGGGTGCGTATGTTTGCATGAAGCATGGTTGGCCTTCCAGTAGCGGCTTGTGTCCGACGCTGACTGAAGCTTGCAACTTCTCAAGCCGACGGTCGACCGGGGCAGTGTAACCGTGATTTACTCAGCCAGATTCTTCCGCGAGTCCGGTCCCAGAGTATGCTCAATTTGCGAGTAATCAGAATGACAAGGGCCTCTCCGACGACTATCCGTAACTTGTAAGGCCTCCTGCGGGATATACGCGGGAGTGATCACGAAGACTGCGAAATGCCGCATGGGCGCTCTCGAGTGTGCACCTTCGAGGCTCGTACATGTCGTTCAAACTGGCTTCCGAAAGAGGCCTGCCCAGCTTACTATGTTCGCCGGCACAGCAATTCGGCCCGCCACCTTTATCGACACGTGTCTAATCTTATTGACGCATCTGGCTCGGCTGCTCGACGGCTGCGCCCGAGAGACAGGGAAAGTTGTCGAGTGACGGCTCTACTTGACGGGCAGCGAGCCCGTTTACGGGCCAGCCCGCACAGAGACGGCTGCGCCTTTCTCTGCCCGTTATTCTCGGTTCAATACAGGACCCGCTTGTCCATCTGATGAGCGAAGAAGAAGTCTGGGGTATTCTGCTTTGGAGCAAACGTCATACATTTTGACAAGTCTTGTCAATCCTTTTGCCGGCTCTTGTCCTCTACGAAGATTGACTCTATTTCCACACCTCGATCTTGGGCCCGTCAAACGCACTGCGGGATCGAAGCAACAGCACAAGTAGCACTACGCCGCAGAAGAAGTCGGCGCTATTGCTCCATCACTTGGATTTGACGATATAGCCGCCGTTCAAAGTCTTCCTGTCGGTTACATTCTGCGCAGTCCATGCACCCTGACCCATCTTGGATGCGCATCCTGAGAATAGTCCCTCCTTGACCGCCATGATAGCAACTCGATGGAGGCATGCGGCTTGCAAACCGTCTCGAGATGCATCGCCCAGCCCAGGAGGTACGCATCCCATCATACGGCAGCCCACTTTGACACTTGCTCGGGCAACTCGCCGCACGTATCCGACCTTGCCGCCCCCCGCCGGTTCAGCCTGCAAGGCCAGCCGGACGAACCTGCAGAGGATCGTGAAGTTGATGGGTGTCTGCTGACACGGCTCAGACGCACACACACGCCCATCTGCACCCATCTACACCCTCTTATTCCCGCCGGTGGCTTGCGTATTGCTTATGGATCGTGCCAGACATTGAAGAACTGTCAGACAGACATTTCGCTAGTTTCGTGCCTTTCCAATGCCTTGGAGGCAGTCCTTTCGGAAAGCCAGCCGAAAACCTTGGTAATATGCTGACCATCACGTCCAGATTCTGTACCAATACCAAGAAGTCGCTTTCTTAGCTGTCGCTAATCGGATTCCTGTTCCGTCCAGAGCCGCCCTCGTTCATATTCCAGAATTGGAAATTCTGGACATCCGGCTCCAAAGTCGGATTGTTCCTGATACCCTTTGCGGTTTTCTGTTCTTGAACTTCCGAATCGTTTTGGTTGTTGTTCACTTGTTTGACGTTGTTTTATTCCCTCAGTCGCGCAGTATGTTACATTGTTTCTGTATGAATAAGACCACAATAAACGGGCGGCTCCGCTGTTATATGCCGTCGTTTGAGTCAGGGAAGAATCTTCTACCCAGCACTTCTCACTTATCAGTTTCTTTTTAATAAGGAAATTCAAAGGTTTGGGGGCCGTTGAAGAATTATATCCCATATCCCACCGGAATGATCTGAGAAGCAAAGAATCCTTATCTCTCCGAAATCGTCCGAGTTCTTGGCATGCATTTTCAGTGTTTTCAATGTCGTACTCTCTGTACAGATCAGACGATCGATGCCTTTTCACTGCGGACACTTTTGCCCACAATCCGGAAGTTTCATTGTCGGGACCTGATATCACGGCAAGACTGACAGATCACTCATCATTTGCATATGTACGGTCAAAGACTGAACAATTGGCGGTGAATAGGGTCCTTGAAGATTATGAAGCCGACAAGAATCATATCATAAGGCATAGCAGGTGGACTTCTCCAGGTCGCCATCGTCAGCCCTCGTCACGTCCATCTGCTCCAGAGCGGTTCCGCATACCCCTGGCCGCATCGCAATTCATCCACATCCCAGGTAAGGTAGCTGTAAGGGACTGCGGTCCGACGTGATCTCCGCCCAGACAACCACCCACCCATCCGACAGGGTCCAGTGATGGTTAAAGTGGTGTCCTTGCCCAACCCCGGCATTGCAAATCAGTTTGCTGCGGCGCTAGAGTTGCAACCACACACCCCTCCCCCAAACAAATTGCCATCCCGGAAACCATCTCCATGTCTCCCAGCTCTAGGTACCACTGCCACCACTACCCCCGTTTGACCTTTCTCCAATATTGGAAAAAACAATCTATTCTTCCGGGATCTGCGACTTCAATGCCGGACGGTTCCCCCTTGGGGTTCTCCCAGGGTCACGGTGCGTACCATCGTCTTCCCCTCATCTCTCCGCCCAAGGGGAGTTGCTCCCAACTTTTCACCAACCACGCTGGCTGGACATAGCATCGTCAGCTTCCCCGCACGCCTTGCTCTAGTGGGGTCCACGGTCCATGGTCCATGGACGGCCGTTCTCATGAAAGCCAGGGGTTACCACGAGCGGCCGGATTGGAAAGTATTTCCGACCCCTAGAGACGAAGAATTTGGCATCGGCTTGCAATGCCGTCGAATATGCAGGTGTTCTCGATGGGTACGTATTGGTTCGTGATGATTTTGATCGTCTCTTGAGCCACCATACCGCCTGTCACGGCGGAAACGTTGTGCAGCTCTCCACCGCCAGACCTGGCTACCTCTTGCGCCGCCTGCGCGAGCCGCTCGTTGTCGCTCCAGTCTGGAAGCAGTGTCTTGATCTTGTCTAGAATCTCATCCGAAGATGCCGTGGGTGTGTGTGACGTGGACTGGAGGGCGAGATAGATTGGGAACAGCGACAGTGGCACCACGCCCTCCTTGGCCATTTCGTCGTTGGCAAATTCCTGCGCTGTAAATGCAATGTGTGAGCACCGGCTGTGGCAATCCTCGTGGAAATGTTCCTCACCTGCTACGCTACGTAGTTGTTCGGGCCCGCCACTTGCAGGGACGACCAGCTTGACAAAGGCCGCATTCTTACAAAACAAGTCGACCTCGGCTGCGTCGACGCCCTCGCCACCGGCTTTCTGACGGACCGATTCAAGCACCTCGGCCGCATCTTTGCGGGCCTTGGCCTTGTAGATGTTCTGAAGCTCAACATATACGCTAGTTTGGGCCTTCATGTCTGGGAGGCCGCCCGGTACTGGCAAACAGCCGTGCTTCTCATAAAAGTCACGGACCGCTCCTGCGATGATCCAGAAGCTAGAGGTGGCTTCGTTCTGCAGAGTTGTTAGGTGGGTTGGCCTTTTTAGGTAATACAGCGGGCACTCACCTCGTCGGCATGCTTGTACTCAAAGACCTCCTTGACGGCAGAAGGGAGTGACGGTGGCGAAATAGTCTTCAACACGGCAGCTTCAGCCTCCTCAAAGTTTTCCTCACCTCCTTCAGGGTTGTCTGTTCTCGTAGCAGCGGCCACCGTCTTGCGAAATTCGACTTTTTCCTTATAGTTGCTCGGGGGCTTAGAGTCGTGAGATGACTTCCATTCTTTCAGGTAGTGTAGGAGAATAACAACGAATGGCAGGTGGCCGTGTTCATGGCTATCGAGACTGTCAATATCTTTCGTCAGGCTGTCGGCAAAGGCCTCCAGCTCTTCCCACGGGGTCAATAGCCGCAAGTCCGTGATGGCTGTAACGTCAGGATGAGTGTCGACGATGGGGTAGATGCCTGGAAGACGAGTGCTGAAATAGGAGTAGAAACCCGCAGAGTGTATCGCGATCACTGGCGTCTTGTGCTCTCGGCTGTACGACTCGAGTACGGTGAGGTCTTCTTGTTTCATGGGAAGTGTGTACAAGATGATGGTGAAGGGGTTGGAGGTTTTGAGAAGATCCTGGAGGCCCGTATTTTCCTGCTACTGTGTTAGTCTTGTGACACAGGTTCCATGATTCATTTGCCTCACCGAAGTCTTAGGATACCAATCACCCTGAACCTCAGGATTGAGCTCTAGCAGAAGCTCAGTACAGCTCTGGGCCCTGGACTTGCCGAGATGGGACTCGTCCAGGAAGAAGTTGACGCCAAGATCAGCCTCATTCACAACGGCATCATCAGCAATCGTGAAATTTCCAATTCCTAAGAACGTTAGTTTTGGATGATGAGTATTAGAACAGCAGTGCACATTCAGAGCCAGCATGTAAGCTACCGGTTTCATACCTGGAAGTACGAGATTCTTGAGTGTTTCAACACCTACAGTGCCCGTGCCGGAATTTACGAGCAAGATATTGGCAGACTCCAGAGCAGCTTGCCCGCTCGCAGCCCAAAGCCTGAGTTGGCGGTCATATTTCTTTTCCTTTTCCGATGGCACGGTGAGGGCTGGCAGCGCCTGGTCGGCTATGATGTCTGTCATGGTTGAAGCGGGCGAAGAGAGACCGGACGGGGATGTGTCAAGTATTGAATACTAGGATTCGATGAGATCCAGGGACAGTCCAAGTCTCGATATAGTGAGGTTCGATAAGTCAATGCGATAGCAAGTCGGCCTTGACTGACGATAGCGACAGGACGTGTGCACTGTGGTGGGTTGGATGTGGGACGGTCGTTGCCAGCGCCTTTTTGGCCGTTTGAAGGTGCCTGGGCTGAGTGTCGTCAACGACGAAGTGGCACCAAAGCATAGTGCTGGGGTTCTTCGCACGGTGAGGTGTGAGACCATGGATGAGGTAAGCAGGCGTTGACTTATTAATATGCTGCTGGTTACCTAAGGAGGCACGTGGGAGGGCGGGCCTCCGTCCGGCCCGGGAAAGGGGCCGCATTGGTACCCGTACGGCCGTGGGGTCTTACCTTCCGGACAACGCCCCACAATTGCGATCCATTTCCGCTTTCTTTTTCCCTTAGACATTGTGAAATTGACTGGAACTTTGCTTGTCAGGTATGAACAAAACCCCCTGCCTTCGCCCTCTCCATCTACGATCGTCAGACACCAGCAGTGCCGGGAACGGTCAGTCGTATGTGCACTCAAAGCCAAACATGAAAAACCAACAAGCCGAGGAAGAAGCAACGGAGATCCCAGTCAACCCAGCCAGTATTCTTTGCCATCTCAATTCTCTCAACTCAGCACCTGTCTCTGCCGTGTGCGCGTGTGTACATATCTCTGTGCACTCTGAGCAAACATGCCACGAAATGAAGTTTGCGTCTCCCTCGTCTGGTCTGCTCTCTGATCTCCTTACCCTGTTGTTTGCTTAGGGGTTACTGCTGCTATCTTTACAGTTCCCAAATGATACTAGGGAGAGTGGGAGAGAGCCCGGATTTACACATCCTAACAGCACATTGTATTCGGTGCGTGGCGCAGCCATCCACTACGGAGACTCAACGATCACCGAAGCCAGGACTTTGAGTGCATGACCATGGTTTACTCCCTACTTACGAGCGCCGTCCGAGTGGGCATTGCGAATAGGCGGTGTCGAACCCACATTCCTCAGCGACGGATTCGCCTCTCTTCTTCATTCCCGTCGCTGGGTTTAAGCACTGAGTCTGCGGCCTGGCTGCGCACTCGGCAGCTGGATCCAGCGGAGCATAATTGTTCGGTCGGTAGTCACGAATACCCTTCGGCGTTGGCAAACGTTGCTGAGCAAACTACGATGCTGGCCATCCTCGGACTTGGAAGATTGAGGTCATCTATCCTGGATCCAGTGATTCACGGAGCTGAAAGTTAGGGCCTTCGCCGATGAGATACCATTGATCAGATCGGGCCTGGATTGGATGATGGATCTAGACCACGTTGCAGCTGATTCTTTAACGGCCGTGGTGCGTCGGGGAGGCGGGTTTTAGCATTTCTCATCGGACGACCTGCTGCCACCGAAAAGCTATACAAGACCCCAAGGGGACTCCGACCGAAAGAAATGCGGCGGCCTAGACTACTGCACTATCGTGCCCTCCCTTCTTCGCTCGCCTCACTGGTATTGGTCTGTCTCACTACCGACTTGTTTGACTCTCTGGTGGTTTTTTTTGGTGTGGCGCGCCGGGTCCACGCCGCATTCGCCTACGGGATCAGCTTACGGCCGGCAGCAGCGGCGGGCCAAAGACAAACAACTGGGACCGTGAGCTCAGGAGGTCGTTTCTGAGCTAGCGAATGCGAATGCGTTGCTGAACGCCGAACGTTCGTTTTTTCCCTAATTCGTCTCGCCCCGAACGCCGATTCAACCTCTCCAGTTCTCTCTTATGTTCGGCCATGGCACCTGTCAACCTTTTAATCGCGTTCCCTTCGTGGGTTTCGCCCCGTTCTGCTTACTTGGACCTCGCATTCTCTTCCCAAGCGTCTTTTGATCCTCCTGTCAGATTCGCTTCCCTGGCCTCTCGTGACATCCTTCACTATGAGTTGCCCCGGCTCTGCTTCTCAACCCCGTATCTGTACATCGTGAGTGGTTGTCGACATAGTGTTGCTCCGACACCGACGATCTTCGAGTCAGCCTTTCGCCCTATCAACGGACAGGATTAAGCCGAGTGAACATCCCTTCAGAACCATCAGTCACATCAACAACTACTTAATCGTTGTACAAGGCCTGGATCCACCGACAACCTCGATTTGACATTCACGACCACATCATTACATCGACGACACTCTCATAGCGACTGCTACTTGCTGGCATAACTCTGCATCGTTGAGGGAAGCAATCGTCATGGGTAACATCAAGGAGGACATCGAGTCCACCAAGGCCGAGGGCCTAGTAGAGAATCATCATTACAGAGATGCCACCTTGCCGCCATGGAGATTCTGGCTGCTCAGTATTGGGTAATTATCCCCACGATGTGTTGAGGGCTGCTGTAGATCTCTATGCTAACCTGCCCGAAAGACTCTGTCTTGGACTGTTCCTTTCCATGTTGGATGCTTCAATCGTGGCAACAAGTCTGTACACCATTGGCACAGAGTTTGACTCGGTCGACTTGATCAACTGGGTTGCACTCGCATACACGCTCACATACCTAAGTTGTGCCGTCTTGGTGGCTCGAGCATCCGACATTGTTGGCCGCCGCAATGCCTTTTTGGCAAGCTTCATCATCTTCTTCGCCTTTTCCCTGGGCTGCGGGTTTGCCCAGAACTTGGAGCAGCTGGTTGCATGCCGTGCCCTGCAAGGCTTGGGTGGTTCTGGTGAGAAGAGAATGCTAGTTATCGTCAAGTCATTTGCTAAGTTTCCGCCAGGCCTTTATTCCATCACCATGATTATCTTTCCTGAGGTTGCCCCCAAGCACTTGCTTCAGTACATGTCCAGCCTCGTCGGCATGGTCATTGCGAGCGCCGGTGTGCTTGGCCCAGTTCTGGGAGGTATCCTTACCCATTACGCCTCTTGGCGATGGATCTTTTGGATCAAGTGAGTGAACCCAGTCCTTGGAGAAGAACGTCCGTGTTCTAACATCAAAACAGTGGTCCCGTTGGCTTCGTCTCAATGCTCATCTTCTACCTGACATGGCCCGACGCTAAACACCTCCCAACGCTGCAACGTAGACGCTGGAAGGAGCTGGATATCGTGGGCTCCTTTCTTCTCGTTGCAGCATCAGTTCTCGTTGTCTTCTCCTTTCAAAATGTCGGCTCGGACGGCAATAAGTGGCGTCAAGCCGTCTTCATCGCCCCCGTTACCGTCGGTGGCGTATGCTTCATTTTATTGTTGGGATGGGAGGCTCTCGTCGCCAAGTTCTGGAGCAGCCGCATCATGGCCGCTATTCCGATGCGACTTCTGCGCAACCGTGTCTACGTCGCCACAATCCTCAACACGATGTTTCTCGGGTTTCCGTACCTCCTGGTCATCTACGCCTTCCCTGTCCACTTGCAGATCGTCAACGGAAAGAGTTCGTTGCTTGCGGGTATCCTACTTCTCCCCATGCTAGGCTCTGTCGCGCTAGGAACCACTCTCGGCGGAATCATCAACAAGAAAAAGAACCGACTTTTTGAGACAATGACGACGGCAAGCTGCTTCGTGTGTATCGGCTGCGGCTTAATGACGACACTGTCGTCGTCTGTGGAACTGGAACCCAAAGCACTTGGTTTCCTTACGTTTATCGGCTTTGGCTTTGGTTTGTCAGCCACTTCATCAACCGTCCTAGGAGCCACGGAGTCCGAGATTCCAGATCATGGTGAGTAATCTGACTCTGCTAGATGTAGACAGACAGCTAACGGAGCAAAGCCCCCGCACAAGGAATCATCGCACAGGTGCGAATTCTCGGTGGCAGTCTGGGAATCGCCGCGTCAACGGCCATCTTGGGCAACTTCATGCGAGACGAGTTGACTGGCGTGCTCACCCCGGGACAGCTGTCGTCGCTCCACGGGGCAGGGGCGAACTTGACGGAGGCGCAAGCCGCAGCCGTGCGTCAAGTCTATACCGACTCCTTCTGCAAAGACATGCAAGTGGGAGCTATTCTATCTGGCATAGCGATCCTACTCAGTTTTGGCGTCTATCGTCGAAATCGTGTCACCATCGAGGAGCAGCGACAAATGCACATCAGAACCGAGGTGGAGAGGAGACGGAGGGCATCGGCAGCCACGACGTTGGTTTCTTCAACAACAACGGACTGAGCCTGTGTATAGCGAGCGCTGTATCTTTATTGTTTGGTTTGGTTGAATGATTTCTGAAGCATAGCACCTGGCCGGCGTTATGGGGTTCTCACTGTCAATATTTGGGCATCAACGGTTGTATATGATGAGAATGGGTTTATGAGCAATACCTCATGTCAGTATTAATTATCAATGTCGAAATATCTTGGAACCACTCCGCGGCCAACAACCGGAAAACAACGGTGATCGTTGACTGAACCGAGGGCGTAGCAAGCCGCAACCCTGGCCTATGTAACCCTGGGCCGCCTGTCGGAATCTCAGCCGGGTAGAGCTCATCGGCGTTGGTGCCGCATGGTGCGGGGATAGAAAAGGCCGCCAAGTACAAATAAGTCGGACTTGTCAATCACCTCATCGGCGCGACAGCCTGTCATGGCCAAGAAGGCTATGAATGAGCCCCATTAGACCCTCTTGTCAATTCCCCCATAGCAAAAGACTAGCCCTGCTACTTATACTTGAATAAGTGATGGGGTCACTACAAGTTGTGTCGAGTGAAGAAGCTTCAAGCAAAAATGATGCAATCGCCTGTCCCCGCCGGTTATCGGTCGGTTGAAACCCCGCAGTGTGGGGCCCATCCATTCCGTGCGCCGTGCCGTCCACTTGTGCTCTCCCCTCGTCTTATCCGTCCCTCCTTTGCCTCTGTAGTCGGAAACGTGTCGACACCTTTTTTCTGTACCGGAACAGCTTCCCCTACTAATCCTTCCCTTTCATTGGATAATAGCAACTGTACGAGCAAAAGCAACCTTCTCCTGACTTCTGCAGAATCCCAGATAGAGTCAGGTATATAAGCAACTAATTCATCCCCGAACCGA